AGTTGCAAAATCACCCTAACTTTCATGTTGTCATGTACTCTGATGGCTTAGTCACTAACTGAATGTTGAAGTATCTTTACAAGTTAATTATTATTATTTGCTTACAAAATTGACACCTTCATCCTCAAGACCTTCACTCAAGAGATGATCAAGTGGGCCTTTGAGACTATATATATGAAGCTCGACTCACTTAGATCAACCAAGCATGGATCCAAAGTTGTGAAGCACTCTTTCTTCATTAAGATTGTAGTGTCCGTAAAGTATTATAGTCTCTTCATTGTAACATTTTCAAAAGCTTTGACAACATATCTTAATGATTCTCTTCATCTAATGATTCTGATTGATGTAATGGTATAATTTAGTGATTGCACCAAATTCATTTCCTTGAAAATGGATTCAGACATTCAGTATATAAAGGATGGTTTGAGATATCAAACACTTTAAGACTTGAACCCATGTGTGTAAAAAGGCAATAGTCTTGTACGTGAAGCATATATAGCCTCTTGACCATGACGTTTTCAATAGCTTTTACAACATATTCAGAAGTTCTATAAATGGTATGCAAAACGTTTTTCTTACAAAACTCAAAAATTTATTATTATTGATTTCCTATCTCTCTCGCTCTTTTATCCTTTTCATCACCAAATCAAGGCCTCACATCACTTTTAGTTGTTCATCCACATGTTTAGCTTTGAGAAATTGTATGTGTAAGTTATGTTTATATATACTTTTTTGTACAACAAAAAAATAAGATAGGAAGAAAAGAAAAAGTAATAAAAGATAAGAAAGTGTTGTAGGAATAAGTTGTATAAACAATAATATATTTTTTTTTAACTTGAATCATGAAGAGTGATATATCCAAATAAATTTTACTGTTGCTTGAGCAATATATGAGAATTTCGTGGATCACCAAGTCAATATTATGTTGCCTCGTGCCCTCGGGACATAAATCATAATCATCCACACCACAATGTTCAATCATTCAATCGCAATTAAAGGGAATCATAAAATTTGTAGCCTCAACAACTTTTTTACTTTAATTATTGTCGATATGAAGTATACCAAATTTATATTAATTTTTATCAAGAAATTAATTGACTATTTTAAAATAAAAAATCTCTTTCACCTGTATTTTTTTTAACACACAAAACTCATTCAAAACTTTATTTAAAATGATCAAATTCAGTTCCATTAAAATCAAAAACTTGTTAATTAATGTGACCGCAAGAACGTTGCTAACCATGAAATAAGTATAGCAAAACATATTATGTTCTAGAACACCAAATATTTGTGTATTCACTCACTTGTTTAACCACGTGATTTATTCTTTAACCACTTATTATTTATCGCTTTACATCACATCCACAAACTAATTAATATAAAATTTGGTGGATGCACCTTTGATAGAGAATATGATTAGGGATGGCAACGGGGCGGGGCGGGTACGGGTTTCATGATACCCGTCCCGGTCCCCGTAAGTTAAATTCATTCTCATCTCCGTCCCCATACTCGTCGGGTATAGATTTTTATCCTCATTCACGTCTCCGTCGGGTATCGAGTATACCCGTACCCGTACCCATACCGGTCAATTTTTTTATTTTTTTATTTTTTGTAAAAAAAATAATATTTTTAAATTATTTTTTTTATTATTATAATTATAATTAGGTTATTTCTTTATCTCATATTATAATAAATAATCACACATAAAAAAATATTAAAATTTTTTAATATAATTAAATTGAAAGTGAATATTAAATTAAAAATGAGAACGGGGACGGGGACGGGGACGGGTACGGGTACAGGTACGGGTACGGAGCGGGTAAGTACATACCCTTACCCATACCCGCACCCGATTTAATATATCGGGTTTTACCCGTACCCGTACTCGTACCCGGTCAAATCGAGTATTCCCCGTCAAAGTTGGGACGGGTTCGGGTATTACCCGCGGATACGAGTATATTTGTCATCCCTAAATATGACGGAGAATTAATTCACACGTAGATGGTAGAGTTCATGTATGGAAGTGTCACTAGCCGCCATTGTCAACTCATAAAGTGTCAAATTATTAGGTCATGATCCTGCTCACTTACCCATGACTTCGTTAAGCAACCTTGTGCTTAGTGGACCTTTTCCTCTCTATAGTCTTGGTGGCTACGTTTGTACAATGAATTAGGCACATGGTCCAAGAGAAAAGGATATCCATTAAACAAATGCAAACCAAATCCAACACCGGATATAAGATTATTCCCTTATGTTACCAAAGGAATGAACAATTTTATGCTTTAATTTTAAGTCTTATCATTTTTCAACAATACCATGACGCCAATGCTTTAATTGCAAATGATGGGACAATCATGCATATATAACGAGGGCTTTGTGGGTGATGAATTAATTTTTTATTTTTAACACATTCCATTCTTTTAAATACCATGTAAGATTAGATAGAAGGCGAAGAAAAAATATATAAAATTGAGAGAGGCTTTAATTCTAATCAAAATGAAATGAGAAAGGGGATGTAAGACAGACTGTTCATCAGTTAAGGACTATTTTTTTAAAAAAAGGAATCATATGGAATTGGATTGGTGACACAGCAAAAATTGTTGGGACAACCCAAATTAATATTCTTCTCGTTTGTCCATTTTCTTGCGTAGAAGTTTCTGTTCTTTTGGGTCCATCCCTAAGACTTTCTCATTTTATCTTTATATATCTTTCATCATCCACCAACCATGATTTTAATATGTTCTGGAGCAATGCTAGTACACTTCTTCAACCCATTCTGAACACAATTTTTTTTTTCATACTATTTGTTATTTGATAAACTTCACATAAATTCATTTAAACAGAAAGTGAAATCCACATGATTTGATGAGAGCAACAAAAATTTTACTTAATAATTAAGCGAGACCCGTGGCATCTTTTTTGTAGCTTTCTTTAGCTATTTACATTGTTGGTTTCTCTTTGAAAAGCAATTCAACAGAGGGCGCATCTTTCAAAATTCACATGAGCTGAATTGTTATACACAATATTTTTATATTTTTCACACTCCCCGATATGCCATATTATTTTTACTATTTTAGGAATTTCAACTAAAATTATATTATTGATTATATTAAATTAAAAATGTCTTAATCACCCTCTTTTTTTTATATTTATTGGATCAAATTAAAAAATTAGTTACCTAAAATAGTGAAAATGACGAGGTATTATGGAGGAGTATAAAAGATAAAATAAAATTATTTTTAACAATTCATATGATAGTTACTAAAATAGGAATGTCCTTAATATTGGTTTTTCTTTTTCTATGTTTTCCAAGGTCTAATTACAAGATGGAATTTATCTAAGGTTCATGATATATATATATATATATAT